TTTTGGCAACTGGATGGATGTGAGGCAGCTTCACTGCAGCACGCCTGCTCACATATAGCATTAGTCACAGTTGCAGTGCAACGATATCGAGGGAGGAATCTGCCTTTACTGTACACCGAGGAGAAAGATTCACCCACACAATAAAAAAAAGAATAGCGTTCTATTCTATATTTTAAAACATGCATGGGCCAAAGTTGTTTTTTTTTTTTGTGGGTTTTTTTTTTTTTTAGCATTCAGAGAGCAGCACTCACTTCAGTAAAAGCCATAGGGTCTGTGCAGGATGGCAGGATCGGATTCTATTAAGACAGTGAAATGTCACTTTAATCAGCTTTACTCTACTCTCCTCATCTCTATAAGACCATCTACCACCAGAGAATATAATAAATCTTTAGGTTGCACGTTCAACTCCTCCGTGAATGGGCTAAACATATTCCTGTTGCTATATATAAACTCCTTATAGCCATAAAACCCCGGGAATATTCATGTTATTGCATACATTTTTTTTTCTTCTTCCCCTCCCACCCACTACCACCGCTGGGGGAAACGCAGTTGCCTTCTTGAGTGTAGAGCGTGACACAACAGTGTACACACACGCACATGCAAACCTTATCATTACAATACTATAATTGCCGCATGCACACGCACACGCGCGCGCACACGGGTAGAGAGGTCTGTGCAAACGGACGCACGCTGCGCGGTTTGCGCGCACCACCTTTCTATGTGTGGGCATGTACAGAGGAGGCGCTCCGGGCTATTTCTATGCGTGCACCTGTCGGCTACGGACAGCGTGTCTGTCTGTATGTACTGCATATGATAGTACCAGAGGAAGAGAGAGAGAGAGAGAGAGAGAGAGAGGGTGAGAAACGTTGAAAGACAGAGGGAGGATGGTGAGGAACAGGGAGGGAGGACAGGATGGGGGGATGCAGTGAGTAAAAAAAAATTAAGATACACATGGAAAAATAAATAAATAAATGTTCTCCTCTTACCTTGATAGGGAACATAGGACATGTTCCAACAGCATTGACCGTGCACGGGCTTTGCGTCTCTGGCGGTCTCTCTCTGCGCTCACAAGTAAAGTGGAAGCAAACGATCTGATAAATCTAATACAAAAGAAAACAAAAAATAAATAAATGAAAGACACAAAAAGACCACGCTGCTTTTCTCTTTCTGCGGCTGTTCAAAGGCAGAGCCGCGGTAAAGGCCAATATTCCGCTGTTATAAGAGCTGTTATCATCATCATCATCATCATCATCATCATCATTATTCTCTTCATAATAATCCACGACCGCTTTACAAATAAGCGCCCGGTTGTTCTTCCTCCTCCCGGTGCGTAAAAACAGACAGGATGCAGAAACCGGAGAGAGAGAGAGAGAGAGAGAGAGAGAGAGAGAGAGAGAGAGAGAGAGGGGGGAGCGGCGCAGAGGGGTGCGTGTGCATGTGTGCGTGAGTGTATTTGCACGCTGATGCTGAGGTGTGAGGGCGAACACGAAAGACAGAACATGAGATAAAAGATGAGATAAAGGATCGTTGTGTGTATGTGTGCGCGCGATTCTAATATCGATAGCCTATAATCGTTGATGCAACATATTCGATATATTTATCGAATTCATTTTGTCAACTTTAATAAGAGTGTTTTACAAGTGCTTACTGACACAAGAAAACGAAGGAACTTTGTGTTTTTTCATGTAGACTTTTCTCATTCCTAAAAAAGGGTTTGGTCTCCATATAAATGAAGAAACTGAAACCTGAAAAATAATTTTCAAACACTAAGTAGAGCATTATTTCCCAAAGACTGGGTCACGACCCTTAGTTGGGCCGCAAGATTTTATTTTTTATTTTTTTGGTCGCCTTGCATCATGTTTCCCAGGAGTTTATGAATAATGTCTATTGACTTGGGTCGCGAAGGTTCTTGACTTTTAAAATATGGGTCCCCAGATAAAAAGTTTGGGAAACACTGAAGTAGACGGATCACTGGTTCAAATCCCTTTGAATCTTTGAATTGGTTGTTGCAGTTTGTTTGGCTAATGTTGCCCCATCTTTCAACATGTCTGGACCTGTCACCTCACCGTCAAAACCAACACAAAACAACAATGCTAGGAGACCTTCTCCACTTTGTGTCAATTTTTTTTAAATTACTCCGGCCGGTGAAGCCAGTTGTGCTGGGCTTCTCCACTTTGTGTCAATTTTTTTAAAATTACATTATCAGGTTTTTACGATCCTCCGGCCGGTGAAGCCAGTTGTGCTGGTGCCAAACATAGATTTCAACAAATGTTGAGATTGTTAAAAGTGCGAGTTTGAGACAAGCTGCTGATTTCTGCTCAGAGGGACAATAAAATGAGTGGGACAATGTGGGACATGATGAGGCCACAAAGTGGGACCAAATACAGACCCATCATTCATGTCATATCATTTAATCCTTTTTATGGATGCAGGGACGTTGGAGCCAATCCCAGCAGGCAACAGGCAAAGGTGAACACACACACACACACACACACACACACACCCAGAGGCCAGAACCACTGGAGCAGAAATCTTACTGTAAGTAAGAGTGCTGCCTGTTGAGGCCACCGTGTGGCTTCCAAGGTCGGATTTAATAAAGTTAATACAAACAACAGCAAGGTACGGGCAGCAAGTCCGCTCATAAATGCCTTTGTTTTTGATTGGAGTGAAAAACCTTACAGTCAACTAAACAGTGTTTTTGCTCCGGGGCCACAACAGGAACAAAAAGTCCCATTCATGACAAACGCTGCAGTTTAACATGGGGTCAGGATGGAGGGGTGAACCTGTGATTGACAGCTGGGTAGTTTGACAGACATCACCATAGTCCTCACAGCCACTGGATATACACTTAGTGACTTCACACGGTCTCCAGACCACCTTTGAACAAAGTGAATGATTTCATTTTGCCTGACAAGAAAAAATAAAATAAAATAATAACAAAAGCCAAATGCATCGCAGTCCCATTCTGAGCAGAAACCTTGGGAACACTATTCCTACGCACAGACAGACAGACAGACAGACAGACAGCATTCATTTGTGAAAATTAATATCACTGTGGGTTCTACAAGCCGCCATTAAGATGCACAGTAATGACTGAAAAATCAACTAGTTATTAGATATTTAGTCATAGTTTTGCATAATATTCTGGACAATATGTCCACCTCCCATCCACTTTGTTGTTGTTTTTTTTATTTCTAATCTGATTAATTTGACACCAGCCGTGGATTAAGCACAATTTATCGTGACTGTAATTACTATATTTAACTTGTTTGTTTGTTTGTTTTACTCAAATCGGTGTTGCAAAACACATGAAGCTGTTTAGCTAACAGTTTGCTGCTGGTTCACCCGTCACCCGCCCCGCTTTACGGCTGTAGCACTGTAAACATTGCGGTGTTGTGCATGCACTTACGCTTGTCCCTCTTGTTGTCCTGCCTTTTGCGCCTTATTTTTAGTTTCGAAAAAAGGTTCAACAGTGTATCTCTTGTTAACTCCTAGGATATTCAAGTGCAGCAAGTCAATGCAGCGCACCTGGCTTTGATTTAAATGTCTGAGTGAGGTTGCCATCTTCTGGGCAGAAGGAAAAATTGCAGGCAGAACAAGAAAACACTAAGCAGATGAATTATTGACGGATCGACGAACACAGGTGGAGCGTAGGTCGTTTGACAGTGATTCAATTATCAAGTGAGTTGACGAAGTCAGTCATGTATGTAAAGTTCTAGTAAAGTAGTATATGACAAAATTGACTACTTGACTTGAGTTACAACGGTAGGACTCTTTATTATTATAACTTCCAGAATGTTTTTAAAAAGGGGTAAAGATGAAACCCTCCTGATTTAAAGACTGGGATCAACACTAAATGGGATGGCATTAAAGGTTATTCTGAGATAGATAAAAACTGGGATCAACACTAAATGGGATGGCAACCCTAGAATTAACTAATAACTAAAACTGTTTAAAAAAACAACAACAATGATGTTATGGTAATATAACAATATGTAGTTAGTGTGTATACACACATGCATGTATATATATCAGAATTGCATTCTTAAATGTAATATACCTTTTCAAAAAGTTTACTAGCTTAAATCTGACTGTAACATTTAAAAACGTATGATTAATATCGTGTAAAAAAGATGAAAAAATGCTTGTGTTTCTTTCAGCGTCTCTGTATGCTTTACATACAGGGTATATATTAAATTAACAAATGAATTGGTTATTACATTATGTGCTGCTACAGGCGCCTAACTGTTAGTATAATTAACCTCACTAGGCAATGGTGGTGGAACGATTCAATACTCAAAGCCTTTGAAGAAGATCTTCGTGTGTCTTACTTCAATTCCTATGACTCTATCAGGTTGGTGTTCAACTAAACAAGCCATGGTTTAATACTGAGTAAGTAAATGGTGAGTGCATTCAAAATAGAAGATTCCTTTATTTGGGATTTCTATAATGTAAAATATGTGCAGTGGCTCAGAAAATGATGGGAAACACTGATTTAAATAAATATGTCAATGACATAACATTTTTTACATTGTGTGCTTCTATAGGCAAATAAATGTTGTCAATACTGTGACTTGTTTCTTTTATTTAAACAAAATCTATTTTACTTTATACATGTACATCAATGACATACAAAGCTTTTTTTTTTCTTCTGGAATGTACTGTTCAACCACAGCCTGGGTGAAAAAGATACAGTTAAACCTCCTGTGGTCATTAGTTCTGTCATATGAAGAAGGTCCATTCTCCTGTTTCATGTCAACTTAAGTTCTGTCTTTTTCTTCCCTCAGGTAAATTAACGTACCATATACTGTAGGCACTATCAAATCAATGAAATATACTGTATATTAAGTGTTAGGACATTATTAATAATTATGAAATATTTTATTCTGTCTATAAAATAAAAACCCAACTTCTACAGTATTTCTATTAAAAATTAAAAATAAAAACTGAAAACATGCATACAGTTATTGACCAAAACAAAAACAAAAAAACAAAACAAACCACAATTCAAAATAAGGTTTAATTTGAAGTCAAAATTATTTCAGAGCAAATGCAATGAATTTAGTAAATCAAGGTGGAATATATTAAACCTTTATGGTGAAGAACACCAGCAGTTGGCAGCACAGTCCTGTCAAATACTTCTACTAATAAATAAAAATAACAGTATTTAGGAAACTCCAATGAACCAAACACGGCTTGGGAGTAATTAAAATGGGAGTGTGTGTGTTGGTTTCCTCCCACAGACTAATACTATTGGGTTAACTGACATTTTAATTCACCATATGTGTGGATGAGAATGTAACTGGAACGTTGTCTCTCTGTGGCCCTACAGTGAACTGGGCCTAGTGTTACCCTCCCTCACCTGATGACTGATGGGATTCCAGCGTCCTCACTAAAAGTGTACTTTCTTTTCCTTAATGTGTTCGAAAAGTGTGAATACATTCGCTCCGAAAATCAAAACATCCAAATGTCATGCAAAAAAACTGGCTCTGGATCAACTACAAAGAACCGTTGTCACTCAAGTAATGACCAACAGGAGCTAATGAGACCATGGCATCAGGCTCACGTACAGGATTACAAATCATGATCCTTTTTTCCCTGTGTTTAAACATAGCAAATTCAAAGACGTACTCCAAAATACAAATATCAGAAAAATATGAGTAAAGAGAAACATTTAGTACCAAGGACTGAGGTTATAACGACGTAGAGCGGAGGAGATATAGTTATCGAGAGAGAAAACCTGGATTTAAACACGTCTACAGATATTAACTTGTGTTTGTTTGTACTCTAAGCCCGTCTAAGCCCGAGCAGTAATGGCTGTGTGTCTTTAATCTCTTTTTGTCTCAGTACAATCCCACATTCTCCCACTCCACCAGGTACTGAACCTTACCATCTGGTGTGACACGTCGAGCCAAGATCCTCACGGCCTCCCCTCCACCCCAGCTCCTGGAAACAGTCCCACTTTCTCCATCTCCAACGCCCCCTGCCCCTCCTCCTATACCACTACTGCAACCTCCTCCACCTCCACCTCCACCTATGCTGTCACTACAGCCGACCATGCTGGGATGGTAAATAGGCAGATCACGTAAGACGGGGGGCTCCAGGTGTTTCTGACCCGGCTGGTGCTGGTGCTTGTGTTGGTGTGGATTTTGGTGCTGAAGTTGGTGCTGATGTTGGTGCTGATGTTGGTGTGGATGTTGGTGCGGATGTGAATTTTGGTGTGGATGTTGGTGCGGATGTGAATTTTGGTGTGGATGTTGGTGCTGATTCTGGTGTGGATGTTGGCGCGGAATTTGGTGCTGATGTTGGTGCTGTTGTTGTTGGACTTGGACGTTGTGCTGGTGGTCAAAATTGTGCTGGTGATGGACATAGTGGTGTTGGTAATGGCTGCCATTGGGGTGGACAGGGTAGAGGAAGCAGGGCGGTGGTAACTTGCAGATGTCCTCCACTCTGAAAAAGAACAAGAGAGAACGAAACACATGAACAGAGATACAGTAGGTCTAATGTTAGAGTGAAAGCATTGTTGAAATCAAGTTGTATTGTTGTAGCAAATTCAAACAAACTGGAATGATCATCTTCTTTGGTAGCATGGGGAGATTATTACAGCATGTGTGTGGACAGTTTTTGGCTAAAGGACATTTGAGAAGAGAATAAACCTGTTGTAGTGGCTCCCAGAGAGTGACGAGTTTTCATTGCACGTGTTGTGGTAGCAGCCATACATCTGTTTGGGAGCAGAGCTGTGGACAGAAGAAGAAGATTAACACACACACACACACACACGCACACACATATATATATATATATATATATATATAAATAGATAAAACAAGTCCCTAGATAACTGTTAATTCCAGGAGGCATCAGGAGTGTTCTTTTTATCAGAGGTCCATCAGATCTCACCACAAGTTAAGCGTTTCATCCTCTGGCTTCCTGGAGTTGTAAAGGTTAGTCCCTCCCACATAGCCATGGCAACATGGCAGCGTCTCAGTAGATTTGGCAGGGACTGGGGGTGGACAAGGCTGCAGACACACAAATGCACAAACAAATAAAGATCACTATAATGTCTGGAGGCAATGATCGTCACAAAAGCTGAAACAAGTGGGAAAATTTCTATTTTAAAGTCAAGCTTGTGTTAATTTATAAGATTTAAAAAAATATATACATATATGTAGTTGATGATGATGATGACTACGACTGTGCCATAAGTTAACAAATAACAAGTTGGACAAATACTTAATTTAATTTAATAATTAGTAATGGAAAAAAGTGGTTACATTTTCAAATGTCATTTAATTCAAAAATAAAAACGCTGAGAATATTGCTGAAAAATAAACGTCAGTGGTATCTCCGATTCAAAGATTTCTGGCATAACTGTTAATATATGTCAGTTCATTAGTGGGTGGCTGTGACCTTGTTTTATTACACCGGGGATATGACTTTGCAAAACTTCTCCAGAAAAACAAAAAAAAACAACTATGTTGAGAAATGCAGCGTTCCGTTCCTTGCTTTTGTAAAAACACATGGGAAAACAGAAGAACACAGTGTTTCTTAGGGGAGATGGTATTTGAACCTCAGACGTGACTTCAGCACCACTGGGATGGAAATGTGCTGATTAACATATCACCTCTGTGGCACACTTAACACTCAACACCAATGAGAGTGATGAGTGATGAGAGTATTGATTCTGTGGTATCCATATCACCTAAAATTGAACTGATCCATTCATGTCATGTGACCACTGACCAGAAGAGGGCAGTGACTCCATGTGATCAAGTCTAGTACTGGAAACATCTTTGTCCCTTGATGATAGCAAATAAACTATTTAGATTAAACAGTAGTGCCACTTTGGCCCAGAGGCAATGTCTCTGTCATTGGTGTGGAAGTTCAAATCCTGGTTAGGATGGTTGGTACCTTCCAGTGGACTCACCACCTGCAGGAAGGTTCAGGGGGTTGATACGGTGCAGTGTGATCTGGGTGGTGGTCATGGAGACTGCTGCCCCCGCGACCCAGTAAGGGATAAGTGGCGGAAAATGGATGGATGGATGGATGGATGGTTAAATAGTAAAAATAAAGTCATGTATTTTGTTATGACTAATATGACTAATATGTTAAAATACATATTAACGTATTAAAAGGACAGTATTTGTCATGGTTGAAAATAATCACACAAAGTATTGATATTGGTGGAAAAAAAAATATCATATGGAATCAAAAATTCTAGAATCACCCATCACTGCTGAAGTGTAAAAACATCAGAAGCGACCTGACTCCTCCCATTTCTCCACCACACCACAGTGTGACACCACATCACATTTAGCCCATGGTTGTTCACCTCCACAGACCGGGGAGTTTGTTATTCCACCTCATAGTCTCTGCCTTTAAATTGATGTGCTATGTCAGTGCTGTACAGCCAAGGTTGCCAGCACCACCTGGCCAAACTGTAAATGACTGCAAAGTGAACCTGGAAGTGATCCCACACTTGGCATATCACAATTCCTCCCCGTCTCACTGAAAGCTGCTTCGCCACGGAGGACTGAGATTAGCAACAATCAGAGGAGCACAGCGCAGGAGTGAAGGAGTGAAAAACCACTGCTTTACTGGTTTAGTACGTGTGTGTGTGTGTGTGTGTGTGTGTGTGCAGGAGGACACAGCAATAGGCATTTATGGTAAAAAGAAAGCAGTGTGAGAAATAGTTAGTATCAAATAGGATGGTTTTGCTGCTGCGATCCAGGGGGAATTGTGTTTGATGATCGTGATAAATGCACTGCTGAGCTGCAGATGGTGATGAAATACATGAGTGGCTCTTGTGCAGCTGGGTTTGGATTTGAATTATGGATTTTCAAAATGAGCTTTATGGACACACACACACACACACAGATTTGTACATCTATTCTTACAAGGACACTGCATTGACATGCCTGTATTTTAACCAGAGCCCTAGCAAAAGGAAACACACACAACAGCTCCCCTAAATCATCATTAATGTACA